AACTATAACAAGATGAGACCGCACGCGCCATTAATGGCAGAATATAACCTTGAGCTCCCTCGGCGCCGAGCACTCGTGCATGAGGGTGGGGCTATCGTGCGCGTACGTGAAGGTGTGCGGGCAGGCGTGCTTGAAGAACGTCGAGTAGCTCGACGCCCGGCAGGTCTGCGGGCTGTTGTAGTGTCCCCGGCAGCACAGCTCGTCCGTCCCAAAGGCGGCGCAACCGCTCTTGCACCCCACCACCGCCGCCGCCGTCGCCGCCCTCACCTGCAGCGGGGCGGGACACGTGGCGAGCAGATCTGCCCGGCAACCGACAACCGGGCACAACCCCTTCCCCTCGTGCGGCGTCACCGTCATCGGGACGTTGAACCCGTCGACGAGGCTGACGCCGTAGGAGGAGAGGTCGGCGGCGCCGCCGTGGTGGAGGGAGAACTGGGCCAGGGTGGCCGGTGCGGCGCCGCCGTGGCCGGCGCACTCGAGGAGGCCAGCGCAGTCTCCAGTGGCGCAGGAGAAGCGGCCGCCGGAGTGGGAGCAGCCGGTGCGGGCCCAGATCCGGCCCGACCAGTGGACGGATGGCACCGCGAAGGAGTGGTGGTGGAGGGTGGGGAGGGCGAAACCGCCGCCGCGCTCGAGGGGAGGGTGGCCGGCGTTTTGCTGGATGGCGGGCCAGACGGTGAAGGGGCAGTTGTTGACGAGGGTGAAGGTGAGGGCGGAGGAGTTGGGGTGGTGGTGGGCGGCGTCGGCGAGGGCGCACAGGAGGAGGATGGGGAGGAGTGCAGAGGAGCACAGCCTGGAAGAGATGCCTGACATGATTTTTGTGCGCAGAGAGTGAGTGGATGAGTGAGTCTTTTGTTGTGAGGATGGGACTGAAAATTGGGTTGCGTGTGTGTGTTTATATAGAGAAGTATACGCCTGTGTAGAGGATAATCTTCTTTATTTCTTATGTAAAGGTAAAGAAACTCGAAAACCTAATACTTTTGAGTTTTGAGTTTGAACTTTTTAGTGAAAGTAACTAAAAACTAATGGATTCGACGCGATTGAACTCGACTCGTTTATCAAATGAGGCAAGCCAACTGGAGCCTTAGAGCATCTTTAACCATAAATCTCATTTTACACTTTTCAACATGGCACCTCATCCAAAACTTCATTCTTACTCTTACACTCAAAATCTCCAATAACAATAAACCTCTATTTTATGGGTCTCACATGTTTCCCACTAGTTTTAATTAAGTATTATATTCTTATATTTTTATAAATCCTATAAAATTATAATTCTATTTTATTTTTATTCAATCTAAATATTTCATATATTTATCATAATACATATAAAAAAATAATATAGGTATATATAATTATATTGAATTATTTATAATTATAGAGTGTTAAGTATGTACAAATATAAATTTTTACTTACAAAATATGAAACATAGAACTTGCATAATGTTGAAATTAAATTTTAAGTACAATTTTTTTCTAAACTAAACAACATCGTTTACTTCTTTCTTTTACGAGTAAAAATTGTTTGTATTCGTTCTTGTTCGAAAATATTTGATTTTCAATTGTTATGTTAACATCATACTTTTATATTTATCATGTTCATTAAAATTTTTTAATTAAAAATAAAAAATAAAAATTACATTTTAAAATTTAAAATATTATTATATTTAAACAAGGGGACAATTCCAAATGGGAAATAAAATTATCAATATAAAATGATCACAAAATAAATGAAAAATGAGGGGACAATTATATCAAGCTTGGGCCCACTCTCCCACTCTCCATTTGCGTGTGTGCGGCACCACACTAGCAAATAAATCACAAAATGAGGAAGTTTACTTTACTCTCCCTCTTCTCTTCGAAGCATGCGAGTCTGCCATTTAGACTTTTTGAATCAATGTATAAAGGGATGGTGAAAATAACTTACTAAATCGAGTGCGACGACCTTAATGGTTGGACTAGTCGACTTAAGCCTCATTTGTTTATGGAGATTGAATTTAACTAAACTAATATGTGGTCGATTGATTATAGTTATACTGTGCAGATTAAATTAGACCCGCATTTGTTTTAGTTTGTATAGAATAATATTTCACCTTGTAACGTTAATTAGTTTTTTTATAATTTATAGTATATAAATATCATTCTCAATTTTGCCCTCATTCCACAAAAGTTATGTCGTTTTTACTTTGCTTTTGGTTTAGATAACATAATCTATTGTACTTTATCGATCAATTGGTAGCATATTACTCGCCATGCTTAAACCCAATTGATTCATCTTCAATTTTAGCAATTTCATTGCACTACAAGAATATGATGAAATTCTAAAAAATAATTCTAACGAAAATATATTTCAATGGAATTTTAACGACAATTCATACGGATATTCCAATATTATTATTTTTATTGGAATTTTCCAATGGATTACAACGGAAATTCCAACAAAATTGTTCCTTTGAAATGAGTTTTTCATTGGAATTTTTGTTGAATTTTGACGATTCCAACGATTGAAATATAAATGAAAATAAAAATTCTAATTGAAATTATTTATTGCAACAGAAATTCTTATCGTTGGAATTATCAAATTTCATCTAAATTTCAATGGAAAACTAATTTCAACGGAAGCTATACCATTTGAATATCCGTTGAAATTTTTATTAAAATATAGGATTTTTCGTTAGAATATAGCATTTTTTTTTTGTAGTGTTGCCATTGTATTCACGCTCCTTTTTTTTATTTCCCTTTTTTTTATAAAACCTCGTAAACTCCAAAAAAATCATCTCCTAAATTGGACACGCGGGTTATGATATTTTTGTATTTCAATTTTAATTTCCCTTTCTTAAAATATTTCAGGCCATTTTTTTCTTTTTTCTTTTTTTAATTAAATTGGGGGTGTAACCGTGTTAGGCCGTGGTCTTGCTACTAGCCTACTATAGGGGGAGAGGTGGAGACGCGCCGATTAAATAGATGTACATAAATATTGGTGTATTTTCACTTTTGTTTAGTTTATTTTGTTATATATATTTTTTTACAGTTGTGGAGATAAATGTTTTAAAAAAACCTGGAGAGGCCAATTGGGTCGAACTGGGACTGATTCAAGTGGATTATTGGAACGGATTACAATGGACTCGGTTGGTATGACACAAATAGCTCGACCGTGAGACGGAGGGTTCATAGTCCAAGTTAGAGCCGAGCTCGTAGGCCGAAACGGCCAACTCTATTATTTACGTCAATTATCTTCTTGCCTCTGAACATTAATTTGATCGTCGGAGCATTTACGCCGGAAACATTCGCGGCGTATTTTCAAGTATTCCGGCCAACCGACTAGGCCAACTTGGAGACAAAAGAAGACGGGACCGCAACATACTGAAATTTGTACCCTAAACCGGAGTAATCAGTCAAATACCATATCATCGCTCAACCCCAGCATTGACCATGTCGGGGTCCCGGGTATTTATTAGGCTGGGTCAACCCGATTTGTCTCGGCATTATTTTTATTACATTATTTGCTTGCACAAATTTTATCGTATATAAAATGATGAGCCGATACCAATTTGGATGGGTGACAATTATTTATTTATTTTAGGTCTGATATTAATTATTGAGAAATGTTATAGGTACATAATATTGTACATAAGAAGTGTATATAACACTCACATAAGATGAGATCGATCAAAAATAAAAAAAATCAAGTGGACCCCACTCTATGTGAGTGCTATGTACTCCTCTATGTAGTCCCGTCCGTTTGATTGGCTGCCACCTCTCTCTATATTTCGGTCGGTCGATTGACTGCCACGACTCTTTATATTTCGATTGATCGATTTCTCTTTATATTTCGATTGATCGATTTTTTAATTGTAGATCCTCAGTTGTGTAAAAGTACATAAAACTTATTTAGCTTAAATGTTTCATCCTCAAAATAAATAATAATAACTAAAATGTACTATAGCATTATTAAATCAAATACCTAATATTTTATGTGTTAAATCATATGAAATATGCTCTGTTATTTTAAAAAAAAAGTGTGTAAAATATCTAAATATTTTTTATAGTATTCTTGAAATGTATAAAATCACGTTAAGTGTTCTATGTTACTCACAGTCTACTTTACAATAACAAAACACAAATTCTACTTACATGTACAATAATTCATGAAAATTGTTTCAATATATATATATAAAAAGGAGCAACAAAGTATTTAATTTTATTATCATGCATTAAATTTTATTCTCCCTCCAAAATTTTCAGCATTTAATTTCATTTTTAGGTTATAAAATAACTTGCTTGAATGCCATAAATTATGAGCATAAACCAATCAAGAGTTACAAAACAGTACTCAAATTTTAAGTCACCCACTCATGAAAATGGTCGAGTGTATTAACATAAAGAAAATGGTTGTAACGGTTCTTCCATAGCAATTACTTGATCAAAATAATTTTGAGAATTATTTTTTTAATTTATATTTTTTTTATAAATTAAATTATGATTTATTTTTATTTATTTTTATCTTTTATTTTTTTAAAATATTCTTCTCTGTGATGCACAAGTTGATTACTAGTTGTATAATAAAATGAAATAAGATTGTCTTCATTAATACTTAAATCAAAATTATTTCCGCATAATCATTGCATCAGCTACTTTGTTGCTTTCAATCCCGAGCTTGAGCTTGTCGAAACTGCAACTGCCGGCCCGCGGCTTTTCTTGGATTTCAGATGTTGGGCTTGAGAATGATAGTTCACCCTCGCCTTCAGTTTCCGATTGCAGGTTTTCTTCATTTATTGTTTGTTATTTTCAGTCATGAAGTGTTGAATTCCTAGTATGAGAGGCTAGCGTAGTTGGTCCTAGTGGGTTTTCAACTGTTTATATGCTGAATTAGTTTTAAATTATCTTCCCCCTTCAGATTATCCAAGGTGAAAAGCGAGGAATCGAGCGTTGTGAATGAAGATGATGTGAAGCATTTGCACATATTAGTTGAAGAAAAAGATGGGGGCCATGCTTGGATAAAAATGATGGAAAGGTCTACACCCAATATAAGCTATCAGGCTTGGAGAAGAGATCCTAAGGTAGATTCCGTCTTGTGCAGATTTTGCAATAAGAGTTATTAGTTATAATTTACCTCTTTGATTCAAAATTGATTTTTTCATGATGCTAAACTGAATTTGAGTTATTAGTTATATACCTCTTTGATTCAAAATTGATTTTTTTTCATGATATAGACTGGACCACCTCAGTATAGGAGTCGAACTGTGTATGAAGATACCAGTCCGGAAATGGTGAGGGATTTCTTCTGGGATGAAGAATTTAGATTAAAATGGGTAGACTTCTTGCTTGTTTTTTTTTTTTATTTGATGATTTTGTTTTAGTTGTGGCTTATGTTGGACAGATGTTCTTTCTGTTTCTATGCAGTTTCCATTTTTTTGTAGTGACAGAGAGTACATAATAGGCCGACGGATTTGGGAGTCTGGACGAACTTATTATTGCGTAACAAAGGTACGAGAATCCTGTCTACATTTGATCTTTTAGTTATTTGTCTGATAATTGGGTTATTTACTATGGAGTGTAAGGCTTGGATAATATGATTCGTGGATTGTTAGTACTCTGGTACTCTATCAAAAAAAATTAGAGAAATTTTATAACTTCTGCAGTTTCTTTTTCAGAATAATAATTAGTAAGATTTCTGAAAATATTCCAGTCTAGTATATTACTTAGTTTTGTGGGTTTTTTCTTGGAGGTGAGGTGACCATTGGTCAAGCTATTCAATTTCAGTGTACACGACCTTTTTCTGTTTAGATGTCAAACTTCTAGGTTCAAGCTGTATACAATAATTAGTCAAGTTCGTGAAAGTCTAGTTCAATGTTCTGTGCCAGAGAATTAATTGTTTCTCAAAAGATAATTAGTCTTTTTCTGTTCGAGGATTTGCTTGTTTTATGGACTTTTGTGTTGTCTAGTTGATTGCCATTCTGAGACCTGGGTTGTGATAAATTGAATTCATCTGAAAACAGAAAAAAATGCTAAACTTCAATTTTATTACCTCCTTTGATTCTTAATATCCATTAATGTTCATGTCTGACGACATTTATCGACTCCTATAATAAGGTGTGCCGTGCTCCTCTGTGCCTCGCCGTAACAAACCTCCCTCCGCGCAGGTAACTAATTAACTTGTCAATTTCAATTTTCTGCACATTTTCTACATAGGGAAGTAAAATCACTTTCATTCAAATAACTCATGTCCAAAAATGAAAAAAGGATTTAGTGAAAACTGAAAAGTGACTTAAATTTAACTTTCACGCTTACTTTGCGGAAATTTAGCCGAATCAAAGAGAGACGGCCAGCCAACTGCATGCGAAGTTGTTCTCGGTATTCGCCATGGCCCAAATCAACTCCAAATTTAGTGCCTCTGGCGATGATTCTCTGGAATTGGAGGAGAGCCCGAGCAAGGTTTGGACAATAAGTCGCCACCTGGCAGAGGTGGCTTTCCTAAGATGCTCGTTTTGGGTGGGGCCCTTGCACTTGCTTGCACTCTTGATCGAGGGCTCTTGACTAAGACCCTTATATTTGGTGTGGCGAGAAGGTTTGCGGGTAGGAGCTTGTGAACCAAGGATATATGCTTATTGCTATGTGTCAAGATGATATATAGTTGAGATCGATCAATAAGAAAATCCCGGAAAATGGCCTTCATTTGATTTCTTCCTACCCAATTATTTCTTCTTTTGGTGTAATGATCGAATTTGGTTCATGCTGAGTTTATTGATGGATTATATATAGCTTGTGGAGAGCCAAAATTATACCAATGGTTGATTAAAGCAAAAACAAACCATGCATCTTGAGAAAAATGCTAGTGGACAGCCAATCGGTCAAAAATACGCAGTGGAGAGCCAAAATTATACCAATGCTTAATCAAAGCAAACACAAACCACGTGTCTTGAAAAGAATAATGGTAATAAAATTTAGAAAGGAATGACCGCTATAAATAGTGTGATATAGAATTGACTAGTTCACACTTTCTTTCTAACCATAGTAGCTGCCAATAAACGTTTAGAAGGTATGTCGATGAATATGACTTAGAAATAAATGATATGGACCTATTATCAAATTTGATTAGGTCTAATATTCATTCACAATGTTCTTCTATACTCAATATTCTTCTATCCTAGAGTGAACACCAAAATTTTTGGGTTGTGTTTAACACGTCTTCAATAATTTCTTCTGACTAAGTAACCGCGAAAACTTCTGGGATGTGTTTTGACAGTGTTTTGACACGTTTTAGGTTGTGTTTTGACACGTCTTTCTATCTTTCGTCAACAATTTTCTTTTAACTTGGTAACAGTTAAAACTTCTGAAAAGTGTGTTTTTGACATGCTCTGAGCATGTTTGTTTATAAATTTTTTTTGTTTTATTTAGAATTTTTGGTTTAGTTTGGTTAATTTTGAAAAAGGTAGTATGGTTAGGTGTTAGTGGATATATTAAAATAATATTTACAATAAATAATTAAAATTGATTTGATGTAAAAGTATGAGAGAGATAATTTGAAGTGATAGTTAGTTAAAATAGTGTGAGTGGATGAATAGTGAATTAAAGTTGATGTTGTGTGTATGATTGATTGATATTATTTAATTATATTGATAATATTAATTATAGTGGAGTAGAGTTAAAGTTGAGTTAAAAAAAGTAGTTGAATTAAAAAAAGTAGTTGAGTTAAAATGTTGGAAATTTTTTAAAAAATCTTATAAACAAAGATGCTCTAAATTTCTGGAATATGTTTTGACACGTACTTCTATATTTGGTCAACAATTTCTTCCAAATAACCGCGAAAACTTTTGGAAGGTGTTGTTTTGACACGTATTTCTATATTTTTTGTCGACATACACGCATTTCTATATTTTTTGTCTGGACTTCTGGGATGTGTTTTACACGTCTATTTGTTTTGACATCACGTTGTAGTTTGTGTTTTAAGAAAATATGTAAGACAAATATATACATTTTTCTACTTCACAAATTTCTTCTGAATTTCTTGGGCTTTTTACCGTCTCTATGTTGATTTTTTTATTGCAATATATTTTTGTATAAGTATTTACTTGAACCAATTTTATTATATATAGTGAGATTTTCAAGCGGTAGTATTTATTATTATTTTTTATATAACTTTGTTTTCAAGTAGTATATATCCTCTCGATCATATATAGACCATTCTCGTTAAATTGTGTTAAACATAAAACTTATTTATCTTAAATGTTTCATCCTCAAAATAAACAATAATAACAAAAATGTTCTATAGCATTAAATCATATACATAATATTTTATGTGTTAAATCATACGAAATATGCTATGTTATTTTCCAAAAATATGTGTTAAAATATCTAAATATTTTTTATATTATTCTTGAAAAGTATGTAGAAAATCAATTAAATTATTCTATGTTACTCGTAATCTATTTTACAATATAAAATAAAAACACACACACACAAATTCTACTTACAAGTAAAACGCATTAAAAAGTCCTGGCGGACACAATTAAGGATACTAACGACTTGGATCCGAACCCATGGCCTCCGGCCACTCAAACTCACTTGTCCGCGCCAGTCACGATATCACGTGTGATATTGCGAACCAGCATTGGGATGGTAACATCAGGCGCGCTGAGCTGTGGCAGGTGGCCTTCGGTGGGTGGGACCCTAATTGCCCTTGCTTGCACTCTCGACCCAGGGCTCTTGACTAAGACCCTCATATTTTGGTGTGGCAAGAACGTATGCTTATTGCTAAGTTTCAAAAAAACTGTGATGCTGACTTTCTCGTCGGGATTCCACTCGGTTCAGGACCTGTTATTTTTACTACTCACTACAGTTGTCAGCTTCTCCCTTTATTTTTTTTCTTTTTTGTTTGTTTGTTTTTTCTTTTGGCTCTTCGTTTGCCTTGATGTATATCAGACATTAGACTTGTAGTTTTGCGACTTTTCGATCCATTTAAGGTATTTTATATACAGGTTGGGGGTTCGGCCTAATCTTCACCCAACTGGGGTGTTTAAAAAAAAAAAGTTTCAAGAACCAAAGATGATATATAATTGAGATCAATTAGAAAATCCAGGAAAATGGCGTTCATTCGATTTCTTCCTACCCGATTAATTCTTTTGGTCTGGTCTAATGATCGAATTTGGTTCGTGTTGAATTTTTTTTTTTTTTTTTTTTTGGCTGTAATTGATGGTGATGTAAGAGTTGGAAACAACACCTGTTCACAAATCTGTTTCACGGATTTATTAACTAGTTGTTTGGTCCATGTTAAATGGTCAAGAAAATTACATTTGATTTACTTGTTTCATGGATTTATTAAGAGAAATTTACACTCCATACTATCAAATATACTATATGTTACATAATTACATTCAATTAATATTTATTTGCAAAGATACAAAATCATGTAACATATTTGCACATATACCTTCATCCTTATCCAAATCCAATCAAATCTCGCTATAAAACTACTCAAAATAATCAACCCTAATCCTTCAGACCCGATTTGATTCGTGGAAGCAATTTTTCTGCCTTCACGGCCCCTTTGAAATTCAACCCTTTCTACAACCTTCTCTTTATAACGGTACTGTTTATCCTGTTGAGTATGATGCGTGGCTTGCTGTTGTTGTTTTCGAGGATTGTAAATGGCTGAGGAACATTGATCCTGCTGCACCTTTTGTTTTTGAGATTTGGGTGTGGAAAGAAGCCGCCACGTGGTCTCAGGTGTTCACAGGGGAAATCCGAATGGCTGAGATTTAGGTGTGGAAAGAAGCAGCCACGTTTTTTAGATTTGGGTGTGAGATTTCGAGGATCGTGAATGGCTAAACATTGAGACATAATTTTTATATATAAAATTAATTTATATTTAGCATAAATTAATTTTTTTTTATTGTGTATATGTATAATTTATATTATATAATCTGTTATAATATGTTTTTAAATTATATATATATTTTTATGTATAAAAAAAAAAAAAAAGAGGAAGATATAATTTTTTGATCAAAGACATTTTTTTCATCGTAATATATACTGAAAATATACTAACATAAACGCAATATATACAAATCAAGGAATTATAGTTGCGCACATATACTGAATATATACTAACATAAACCAATATATACCACTTGACAACAACGTGAATTACAGAATTCCAGCTGCCCACATATATCGAATATATATTAACATATACTCAATATATACCATTGCGTGAATTAAAAAGTTTCCAGTTGCGCGAATTAAGGAATGAAATGAGTAAGTTATTTATTCTAATTTCTCTCGGGTCAACGTTTTTGTATGGTAAGTGGAATAAAGTAAATCTCTAATTAATTCAATAATTTTAGATACATATGTAATTAAATTTATAGTTGCTGCAAAATCGCAAATAAATCGAAATCTTGTAGGATAGATGAAAATTTCCCATTTATTAACTGATTGTTTGGTCCATGTTAAATGGTCAAGAAAATTACATTTGATTTACTTTGATGCAGCATTGTTATTGATGGATTATATATGGATTATGCATGGCTTGTGGAAAGCCACAATTATATCGATGCTTAAAATTTAGAAAGGAAATGATCGTTATATATAGTGTGCAATAGAACTAACTAATTCACCATTTTTTTCTAACTATGGTTGCCACTCAAAAACAAGTTTATAAAATATGGATATGAAATAAAAGTGATAAATACTGATAATCAAATTTGATTAGATCTGACTCATTCACAATTTTTCTTTAACAAATAACCGATATAACAAGTAACCGATCTGTGTTTTGACACGTTTTGAGTTTGGTTTAGGGTTTTGACACGTCTTACCATTTTTCTTATAACTAGATAACATTGTGATCTGTGTTTTTGACACGTGTTAAATAACCGATATAACAAGTAACCGATCTGTGTTTTGAGTTTGGTTTAGGATTTTGACACGTCTTACCATTTTTCTTATAACTAGATAACATTGTGATCTGTGTTTTTGACACGTTATCTGTGTTTTTGACACGTTTTGAGTTTGGTTTAGGGTTTTGACACGTCTTACCATTTTTCTTATTACTAGATAACATTGTGATTTAACTAGATAACATTGTGATCTGTGTTTTTGACACGTTTTGAGTTTGATTTAGGGTTTTGATACGTCTTACCATTTTTTTTATAACTAGATAACATTGTGATTTAGTTACAGTGTGTTTTGACATGATTTTCTCATTCACCATTTCTTTCAAAACTAAATAAACCTCTCAAACACGGATTTTCTCATTCACCATTTCCTTCAAAACTAAATAAACCTCCCAAATTTTTTCTTTGATCACGTCTCTATATTTCAGTCATATTTACTTGAACAATTTTTATTATATATATCCAAAGAAAATTATGAGATTTCTAAGCTGCAGTTATTATTGTTTTTGGTACAACTTGAACAATTTTTATTATATATATCCAAAGAAAATTATGAGATTTATAAGCTGCAGTTATTATTGTTTTTGGTACAAATTGTTCTCGTTGATATTACGGTAGTAGATGTGATATTTGACAATAACTTTATAAACCATTTTCATTAAATTGTGTAAAAATACTTATTTATCTCAAATGTTTCATCCTCAGAATAAATAAAAATAACAGAAATGTTCTATAGCATTATTAAATCAAGTACTTAATATTTGACGAGTGAAATCATATGAAATATGTTATGTTATTTTCTAAAAATTGTGTGTAAAATATCTAAATATTATTTATATTATTTTTGAAAAACATGTATAAATCATGTTACTCGCAGTCTACTTTAC